CTCAGAGTAGCAATTATTTATTCTAACCTGAATTTGCCTATTATTCAAAAAGTCTTTGATCCAGTTATATACTCTCCCTTTTATTCCCATTTTCCTTATTTTGATTAGAACTCCATCTTTCCAAAGCATATCATATGCCTTTTCAACATAAAAAAATACAGCTGCAACTATTTCTTTACACGCCTGAGCCTTCCGAATATCACTTTCCAACTTAATAACAGGGTCCATAGTCGACCTTCCCTTCCTGAATCCACTTTGAAATGGTGACATCAAATTTCGTGATTCAACATAAAAAGTAAGCCGTTCCACAATCATCCTCTCCATTACCTTACCCAGGTGGGATGACAAAGCAATTGGTCTATAGTTTGAGGCCATAGTTGGATCTTTCCCTGGCTTTCTGATAGGAATAATTACAGCCATCTTCCAGTCTTTTGGACTTTCCCCTTGTTCCCACACCTTGCTAAACAGCTCAAGCATCACATTCATACCATTCTTACCAAGATGTTTTAACATTGCATAGCTTACCTGATCTTTCCCTGTAGCTGTGACCTTAGCCTTATTTATAGCTTTTTTGAGTTCGTTTATTGAAAAGCTAGCATTCAAGCAGTCATCACCATCCTCTACGCACTCTAACAAACACTGGTGTTGTTGCTTTGTTTCCTTTCTTCGATTCCTTTCCGCTTCAGTCAAATTAAACCCACTATGAATCTTGGCTATAGTTTCTACCATTAGTGCTGCCTTCTCTTCATCTTTCACAGCCACAGTATCATTGCTCTTAAGGACTGGATAGCTCCAAGATTGCCGTACTCCACTCAACAACCCTCCAGACGTCATTTACAGAGGTTTGCCTCCCAATTGTATTACAATACTTTCTCCAGTACTCTTTTTTAGTCCTCCTGATTATTTTCCTGACCTTGGCCTGCTCCCTTTTATACTCCATATACATCTGGGAGCTTAAGCTCTTCACAAAATCTTTAAACACTTTATTTCTTCTGTTAATCGCTTGTGTACACTCATCTGTCCACCAAGGAACTGCTTTCCGTTTCCCATTTCCTACCTTTGTCAACCCAATTGATTCCTTTGCGGCGTCTATTATAGCTTTTGTCACATTCTTATTGAACTTATCCACATCATCCATTACCTCAACTTGACCCATGTTCCTATCACTTATAACTGTGAACATTGCCCAATTCGCCTTACTAAAATTCCACCTCTCAAAGGAAAGTTTTCTAACAGTGCCATTCATGCTGCCCATTCTACTCATTATTGTATAGTGTCACTTCCCATTGTTGATTCATCATATACTTCCCAGACTAGTTGGTCCGCAAGAGACTGAGGTACTAAAGTTAGATCCAATACCGATTGCACATTGAACCCAATTCGAGTAGGTGACCCATCATTCACACACACCAATTCTTTCCTATCCATGAGCTCTTCTATTACCAACCCATTGTGGTCCGTTTTTTCCCCTCCCCAAAGGACACTATGTGCATTAAAATCTCCAAGCCATATTACATTCCTTCCTCCTTGACAGTCAATCGACTCTAACGCATCCATCTCAAGTCTTTTACAAGGGTTATAAAAATTTACTACCGTTAGACAACCCTTTTCCCACCAAATCTCAACAGTTAGATATTCTAGTTGTTCACCCTTACCTAAAACTCTATAGGGAACCCCTTTCTTGATAAAAGTCGCACATCCACCCCCACTACTATCATTTCTATCACTACGCTCACATACATACCCATTTAAGACAAAGCTCAAATGAGGTTTCAGCCACGTTTCAACAATGCAAATAACCACTGGCTTGACCTCTAATTCAGAGATAAATCTCTTGAACTCCTGTCCATTTGCTATCAAGCTTCTAGCATTCCACTGTAAAAAATAAATGTTTTTTTTTTTTTTTTTTTTTTCCTTGTGACGCAGGCGTGAGCTGCCGTGAAGACTGTGACCCAGCTACTGGCTTCCCAGATTCATCTTGATTCTTAAGTTCCTCATGAATATTCTCCCACTTGACACCTTTAATACCCAAATATTTCGCAGCACTTTTTACAACAATAGCAGTTTTCTCAGACTTGTGTTTTGCTTGTGACGTACAATTAACAACTTCTGCAATAAAGCACAGGAACTCTTTCTTTTTTACCACTAGTACCTCATCATCAGCCCTGATCCTCTCACTTCTCGCTGTATTTGGCCCAGTCGGAACTCTTCTGGCTGCCTCAGCATAGGACATCTTCCCTGCAGTCCTAATATGCTGGATTTCAATTGCCCTCTTCCTGGCGACACACTCTCGGTTCCCAACACTGTGCGCACCCCCACAATTTGTACATTTTTCTGGAACCCCAGTTCCACATGCTCCATAGTCATGCCCTCCTCCACACCGTCCACATGTCTGTGTGCCTTTACAGTAAGCAGCTATATGTCCATATTTCTGGCACTTGTAACACCGCAATGGCGGCGGCACATACAGCCTTACACTGAAATTTAAATATCCTACAGTAACATATTTCGGCAATACTTCTCCTTGAAAACTCCACCATTACAGACAGACTCTCTACCTTTTCTCCGGATCTCCATGCATTAAGTCTCTTTAAACTCAATACGCGTCCTCCCTGAATGTTATCCTTTAGTTTCCCCAAGTCCTCGTTTACAGGGATACCATAGATCACACCCCTACAGGTCTCTCCCGTTGCCACTCTTTTCTTACTCTCCAAGACTTCTTTCTTACAGACATTTTTTATCTTCAAAGATGGCTCTCATCTTTACACACTATCATTAAGTCACCATCCGAATGCACTCTAGCTCTAGCAATTTCACCTATTTTCTCATGCAAATATCTGCTAAGAGCGACAGGACCTACCGTTTTAATATCATGACCCTCCTTAAACTTAATCAACACTTTAAATCCTTCCTGGTCCACTTTCCGCTTCACCACTCGCTCACTCATGTCCTCTGACTCACTGCCATGACTTAAGCCTAGAGTATACTTGCGCGGCGTGGCTTACGTTAGCGGTTGCGGTGGACCTACGTAAGCACAATTGATGTTATACTGGCGCGTTCCCCTTACGGAGTTTTGAGGAGAATGTTGTAATCTCACAACAAACCACATGAGGGCGATCACACAGGAGCGGTCCCATTTACGCTGCTACTTTGTCCTCTTCAGAACAACAATAGCAAACAAAGCTGTTTGAGCTCATTACACGTGTTTCTACTGTAGGTTTATGTGATCGTTTTATGGATTCATTATTTTATAAGTCATTTCAACTGTGATGCTGTGAATAAAGACACAGTTCTTGTTGGAAACATAGTTATTATTAAATAGTTTTCAGCACAAACAGCAAAACAATAATAGTGGTAAATATCTGAGACAAACATGAACGATTTACGAGTGCAGGAGGAAAGCAACAAACGCAGCTACGATTCAAACAAAGACAGCAACAGTGCAAAACAAACGACTGCACAGTTTATAAGTTATATATATGTTAGATATAAGTTAGATATATGTTATATATATGTTAGATAGTCCACAGTCTCCTGTATATCAGGCTCTGAGCCCAAACTGCTTTTCCTTCGAAGCACAAAGCTCTCTGCTCCATAGTGCCTCGTCCATGCTCCTGCTGCAGCCGCTCCGTGCTTCCTTCCAATACACACACACGGACCAATCACAGCGGAGATTCCTTGCGGCGACCCTTACGTAGTTATAAAATTTCGATGCTGCAGGACAGGCAACGTAAGGGCCTTGCGGTGACCAACGCGTTGCGCAAGTGACGTCACGTCACCTCCGTAAGCTCCGCGCCGCGCAAGTATAAACTAGGCTTTAGCCCCAGTGGCGGCTGGTGGAATTTTCTACTGGGGGGGCTATGAATATGATGACTAGATATATACCAGCAGGGTAGGGATGCTTTCTGATCCCTACCCTGTAGCTTTCATCCAGCTGGGATGAAATATTTATCTTCCCAAACATAGCTAATTTGAGGGCATTTTGCATGTGGATACCAGTCTGCTCATGCTTCTTTGCCTTTTCTAAAAAGTGCTTCAGATCAGTCATACCTGTCTTGATCCATGCTGGGTCAGATCCTGATGTTTGAAACAAGAGGCATGGAAAGCAAAATAAAGCATTAGCCTCGCTACATGCTGCTAGCCAAGATTTGGCGCTGAACCAGGTCCTGGACTGCTGACTAATGGTAATATTTGGCTGATCAGGTCCAAGCTCTTTAACCTCAACCTTCTCCTGGTATGATCTTCTCTCAAACGGTATTGTTTTGAGTGATCTAACTGAATTATTCTTTTTCTCGTTCTCCATTTTGCGTCTCTTTACGTTCGTCTCAAACTCCCACAGCTTGACCTGTCAATCACTGTAAACGGACGTCACAGACAGTGACAGTACAGGTCGCGGGCGACCCCGCCCCCTCAGGGCGCACTTCTCCTGCGCCCCCAAATCGTCTTATCTCTTGCATTGAAGAGGAGCTACTGCGCATGTACAACTTTTAACGAGAGTCCATAGACGGCTCAGGGCGCACTCTTTTGCGCCCTGAGGCGGAAATACGTCCTCAGTCCGACACAGACAACGCTGATGAGCTTAATCAATCCAACTCAGCATAAACTATAAAGTATTTCTTCCACATCTGAAATAAAACACACATACATTTCGAAATATTTTAATGTTATTTTTTTTTTAACGTTTTATTCAAGGTAACATGGCAAGTTGTGAGTGGTGGGGCGGCGCCCTAGCGCCCTCTATTGGCCGGCCGCCACTGTTTAGCCCTCTCTTTCTGTTACCACACATTTCACCCTCTTCCATGCTATCCTCACTAAACTCCAGCAGTAGTCCCCCCGACCATATTGTGATCATGCACAATCTCCTAGTGGTTTTCCCACACAGAACTGTGTTTTTGGGTTTTGTTTTCAACCAACTCACGAGACGAGAAAAAAAAAAAAACGCTCAATTCAACACCACGGCGCAGCGCAATCAGGCACTTCCGGCTCCACTCCTTTCTCACTCAGCTGTCCTCCATCCCCCATCTCCTCCACACCTGCTTGTCCCAATCACGCACACCTGTCCCCACAAACACGCAACCACTCACACACACGCACGCACATTCACGCACGCTGTCAAGTTGCCCCGTGACACTTAAACAGTCGCCCGATGAAAGAAAGGAAACTACAAACTTAGATAGATATAAAAAAGGTTTAATATATAAAACAGAATACATATAAAAGACAGGCTGAGTGGAGCCTGGGTCTAACTGCACGGACAAGAGGCAAAGCACAAAAGACCCCGCTGATTGTCCAGCCACCAAAGGTAACAGGATATGAAGATTTGAAACACATGTGACAATATGACCTATGAACTCTAGGTTTGAAAACAATCTTCTCTTCCAACAGAAGAAGTCTTGCCTCAACCCAGAGGTTTTCTGGCTTTTTGCTTGTTTATACGTCTAGTCTTTCACTCTTGCCTGGGGGCTGGGAGAATGCTGCCATCTCGCCACCCTCAATGCATGAGTTGGTTAACTAGACGAGACCCTACTAATCTACACACATTTATTAATATGAAAATACACATAACATTTCTTGACAATAAAACATTCCAACAGCTGATTTGGAGCAGGTGCCAAGGGTTACAGGTTTTATGTAAACATCCAAGTTGATGAGTCCACACCATTTAATATTTGTAATTGACTCAAAATCCTGATGTATTGAATTATATAATATATATACGTAATTTTAACCTCTTTTGCCATGTTTAATAAAGGCTTTTAAAGATTTTAGCAACTTTTGAGTGCCTCAGTCTTCTGTCTGAACTTTGAATATTGGTCTCTCCACTGAAGGGCACCATAAGTAAACTTTTTTCTTATTTCATTTTTACATCCAAGAAGCACTCCAGCCCCGTCTACTGTTTTCAGTAAGTGATCTTTATTTGAATGCCGCCATTCATAGAGAGTCACGAAGCGCTTCATAATTGTTGTGAGTATTAGTCCTGTCACTTTTATTCTGATATCAATAATTTACTACTTATTTATGAAGAACTTATTTATTTTAGTCCTTACTTTTAAAATTATTTATACTTTGTACTCATTACATTTAATATTTCACTTTTTTACTTAAAACCTGCTGCTCTTGGTCTGGAACAGTGACCTGGCCCAGCTCCAGGTCCTGAACACACAAGCCCCTCCACCACGACAAGGTGACAGCTGTCGGAGGGGGTCATGCCAAGAGCACATTTGTTGATGAGACTGAGTTTGAGGCTCTTTCTCTGTTTGGCTGTTTGCAAATCTGCTGTCTCTGATTGATGTTTCTTTTCCAAAATATTAAAGCTGCATAAATCAACAGCACAAACAGCAGCACACCCACCCCCACCCCCACCCCCACCCACTCCCACACCCACACCTCCACCTCCACCCCCACCTCCACCTTCACCTCCACCTCCACCACATCCAGACCCTGAGAATGATCTTGTTCTTCATCGTCGTCCTGAGTTTGTTTCTCTGTGAACAAGAGCAGAGGGTAAATGACAAGAAAACAGAGTTCAGAACAAGACAGGAGGACATTTACCTTTTAGACTAATCTTCATGACGTTCAGATCAATGTAGCACTTGACAGACTGTTTCTTGTTTTCTCCTGTTGTGACTAAAGCAACACACTCATATCTGCCTGTGTCCTCCAGTCTAAGATCTTCAAGGATCACATCAAGATATCCTCTTGTTGTATCCACACGAACTCGATCTTTGAAACAGTGATGTTTTGTTGTATCCACACGAACTCGATCTTTGAAACTCTGAAGTTTTGTTGTATACAGACAAACTCGATCTTTGAAACAGTGATGTTTTCTCGTATCCACACGAACTCGATCTTTGAAACAGTGATGTTTTCTCGTATCCACACGAACTCGATCTTTGAAACAGTGATGTTCTGTCGTCTCTATTCTGCCCCTTCTGTATATCAGGACACAGTCTTCTGACTTCTTTAACCGGAAAGAAACAACCGTCCCCTCTTTCACACATGACAGTGAACAGTTTTGTCCCTCTGTTCTGCTCACAGCAACAGCCGCGGCTGAAGAGAAAATATATGATCAATAATCAATGTTAATCAATAATTATGTTTGGACATATTGTTGTTGTTATGTTGAGATTTAATTCAGAGCAAAACACTTCACCCCACATTGCCTGAAGCCTCCACTGAAAAACCAAGGCCATGTCTTTGATAACAGAGAAGCTTGTGATCATACTGTGAACCCACCACCTGCAGGAGAATCATTGAGGGACTGGTGCTCTGAGACTTGGGTGGCAGCTCTGATTGCCAACCCCTAACCCAGAAATGGATTAGTAAAGGGGAAGAAGATAACATGAGATGACATGAGATGGAGAAAACTAGGAAAACAAATGTCATATTTGGATAGATACTTTTGAATTTACTCACCAGAGGAAACATTAAAAAAAATCTGTAACAATAATAAAGCATGAGAGAAAAAACGTCCCTCCATGTTCAGTTGAAAATCTACATAGGACAAATGCAAACCATGAGGAACCTTATCTACCAGCCCCACAGGGCGGAGGAACATGCGTGCGTCCTCTTGTCAGATGGCAGGATTGGGTTGAAGAGTTAGAACAACAATCTCTCAGCCAAAAGTCTATAAAAAGAAACTGAAACTCTCATACGTGCAGTTTAATGTAGAATATTTTGACTTAAAGTTGAAATATTTTGAGATTTACTGTATCTTGAAATATTATGAGATATTCACAATCACAGTAACAGAGACAAGGGTGTTCGATCAATATGTTTTAACAGAAACATATTGAGCGATCCTTTGTTCTGTCTGAGTTGAACATGTGCACTATTGTTAGGTAGTTAGTCAGAAACTTTTAGAATTGCTGTTGGATACCTCCCCCCTCCACAAATGATCAAAATGTACTGCCAATATGTTTGTTCAATTATTGAATGGTTTCTGTTTCAATATGAATACAACTGTTAGACTAACGACAGAGGTGAAAAAAGCCTATTGTTTGTATTCAAGAGAAAATATATACATACATGATTAAAAGTCAAGTTCCTTATTAGTATCCTTGTTCTAAATAAACTGACTTTTTTCTCATAAGCACTTTCATTTTTCTGATGTTTCCTCACATCCCTGTATCTAATGCATAATGTTGTACCAAACTAAAGGGCTCTGATTTTTGTGTCTTGTCCCTTCTACAATTGTAAACCTGCTGCGTGTCCTTGACCTAAACAGAAATGGAGCATGTCATTTTGCACATAAGACCTTGTAAGATCTTGTTTTTGTTTTCACTTTTCGATTCATTCTTCCTCTGTTTTGTAAATGAAGTGCACCTAAAAATCTGTCCAAGGGCGTATTGTCTCTACTAGTCATGGTTTTTACCTGAATACTTCCTCATGAGGTTTTGGTCTAGTCCAAAACTAATCAAAGAACAGACTGAACAGGTCCAAACAGACACGCACAAATTTAAGTCATCTTCATTTACTATTCACTACATAAAATATTGTGAGCCTAATTTGATAGAAGATGGCAGGATTTTATATTGAAAACAGAATGGCAAGCCAAAGTATTTTGTAAGCTTGTTTTTGCTTACAGCTGACATTTAATCTTTTGTCTGAACTCAAGTGGCTTTATAAAGGGGTGGCTCTGGAATTTGACTCTGCCCATACATGTCATTGCATAAACCCTGTTATTATCATAGACTTGTTATGATAGTCTTGTTATGAGCATCTAGTCCAACAGGTTTCTTTCTTCTTTTTTTTTTACATGACTTCTTTTCTGTAGACCAAAACGTTAATCGGCAAACTGATTTATAGTTTAACTGGTTATGATGGTAATTTCTTGAGAATAATCTGTCATGAACTCATTAGTGTTAGTTTTAATCCCATATACATTGTATATAATATGTATTCATGGATACAAAATAATACTTTTTTTTTTTTAATTGCGAGGTATTGGCAGCTTGTTTTTATAGCCAGCAATCAAGTTTTGATATTCAAGTTGTTGTATTGAATGTTTGTGTTCATGTTCACAGAGTGTGGACATGTCCTATTCCAAAGCTTTATGAGTGAAACAAAAGCTTCTGCATAACTCAAGATCACTCAGCAATTATACCCATGCATTTGATGATTCAATCAATCAATCAAATTTTATTTATAAAGCGCTTTTCATACAAAAGATGCAACACAAAGTGCTTTACAGTTTGGTTAAAAACAATCCCGCTCCCATGCACACTCTCTGACACACACACACACACACACACACACACACACACACACACACACACACACACACACACACACACACACACACACACACACACACACACACACACACACACACACACACACACACAAGTAAAACAGTAAAACAATTATGAGAGACTTGGCAGGGTTCAGATGCAACCAGCTGAAAAAGCGTCATCCAAGGAGCCGTCTGCACCAGGAGCAGAGAGCCGCCTGTAGCCACAGGGGACAACACAGGATCTAGAGGAGACCCGAAACCGAGGCCCCAGGCCCCCACCAGGTCCAAGAGTCCGACCCCCACAGCCATGCCGACCACCGCTCCCAGTACAGAGGGTTCCTCCAGAGGAAACCATTCACACATGGTACAGTACTTCAAACTTTTCTGTGATAAATGTTGATGCAGGCAACAGGGACTGCAATTTCTTTATCTGTGTTCTGTTTATTACTATTGTACTGTACAATGCAACACCAACATGTCCCCCACTGTGGGACGAATAGAGGTTATAATGTGTTATAGAAAGCCACTCTCAAAAGGAAGCTGGATCTGTGTTTCAGCCGGTTGCAGCTCTTTCAGTAAAACATGTGACTGTGTTCAGCCAACCACGCAGCAGCAGCAGCAGCAGGGTTTTGTTTCTGGGAGCAAATATTTGATAAAGAGGAAGTGCGTGCAATAGAGTTAAGACCAGAGTTCACCATTTTATATTATCTATATAGACTTAGAAACACAAGACACATCAACGAGTCACACTTTCTGTCTCATTACATGAAGGGAGCAAATATTTAAAATGTATCAAGGCTATTCATTGTTTCTAAGATTACTGAACCAGTTCATTTTAACATCCCAACAATATATAACAATAATTGGTTTTGTAATACACTTTATTCTTTTGTTGCTTTAATTGTTCTTGATCTTGTTAGGTTACATGCATGTTGTGCAGCCTTTCAGAAAAGGATAGACAATTTTTTTTATTATTATGACCTTATTTAGAGTTTTTTATTATTATCTTACTTGTCACTGCGTGTTCATTTCAGTGTAGATGAAAGACAGAGATTATAGTACAAACAGTCAGTACTCTGTTGTGTGCAGAGCAGTGGGGGAGGGTCCCGGCTCAAAAGTGGCCAAAATGACGTGCGCTGACATGCTTGCAATACCACCCCGGGCCGATGGGGGTGGACCCAGAAGAATAATTAGCCAATGCTAACATATAGCGTTGGCAGACCTCTCAAAAACGTCTTTACAGGATGGACCAAAAGTTGGCTCTTGGCCCAAAGCTCCGTTCCACATGTGTGTCAATGCTGAGGGGGGTGGATTTTTTTGGTCCACTCTAGTTTACTTGCTGTGAATTTTTGAAGTCTCTCGTTCAAATGAATGGAGCTGCGCCGGCTGACGCATGCGCAGATGCGTTTCTTCACAATTTTCTTGTGGGCGGGACCACTCGCGGCCATTTTGGATTGCTCCAGTAGAGCAATTTTTTTGGCCCATTAGTTAGAACAGCGGAAATAGGCGTGACTCTGTCCATTAATATATACAGTCTATGGTGGAGTAATCACAAAGTTGTCAGACAGGTTTTTTTCAAATGTAATAACATTTGTAATTAATAACAAGGAACAAATGCAAATCTACAAAATGCACAAATTGCTACAAAATTACACAAATAAATAGTCAAAAAAATCTATAAGAAAATATTCTGAAAAAAACGAGTTAAACAAAAAATAGTTGTATTGCGTACATATACCTTGATTTACATTTATGTAAATGCGCACTTTATTGTCCCCGTAGGGAAAATTGTCCTCTAAAATTGTATCTTGAAATATTATGAGAATAAAATCGAAATATTATGAAAATAAAGTCAAAATATTATGAGATATTCACAGTCACATTAACAGAGACAATGGTGTTCCATCGTGCAAAGCAGCTAAATAAACAGACACCTCATGCAGAGTTCACTGAAGAGATAGTTTTATGCTTTCATATCCTCTTAATCTGATGACCCAATGTAACAGTGGTGTTATTTGTTACAACTATGTGCGCGTATGGGACAGAGCACATAGCGCACCGGTTATAATCATAAATGCAGCTCGTGGAAGTTCACGCTGGAAGACTGACTGCTAAAGCCTATCTCCTTCAGGCCTGACACACATCCTCGGCCTATCGCAGCAAAACGCCCATTTCCAGCCAACCTCTGCTGGCCAGGCCAGCAGCTTAAAAGATTTCCAACCGACATGTATGAAAACTATTGCTGTTAATTTTTCCATTTTGCAGTGAAATTCATGGGCTTCCTGTTTGTCAGAGGGCGGGGCCATAATAATATTTTTTACATGTCTTGACTTGAGGAACATGTGTACCGAATTTCATAGCTCTACAACTTGATCTCCAAAACTCCCATAGGGGTATTATTTTGGCTGTTGTAGGTGGCGCTGTTCTGGCATTTTTTGAGTCCCATAAAAATAAACACCAAAATATCACATTTTTTGCCAGGTCTGATTTTTTTGAAAAATTTTACAACTTTTCATGCATGTTCAGGGGGTCAAATTAGGCTCAAAGGGCAGAATTTGACATCTCTCAAGCAAAAACAATAGGCCCTTTCTCCGTTCGGGGCTCGGGCCTAATAAATAAATAAATAAATAAATATACCAAGGAATTTTTTTTCGACGTCTCGAGAAAAAAGAATATAGGTTTCAATGGCACGTGATACATAATTTTAAAGCGTTTGAGTTTACGCACGCAACCGTCACGTCGGGGTGAGTGACGGGCGCTGACGCGTCCGTCACGCACCGCCACCATTTGTTTTCACCATTGTGAAAGCAATAGGCCCTTACCCCGTTCGGGGCTCGGGCCTAAAAAAGCATTTGGCTAAAAATAGCTGGGCAACTAAATGTTGCCCATATATTGTTTTACCTGACAGTCTCCTCGGGGGCCGGACCCCCAAAGAGAAAATTAAATCAGATTCAGATTCATTTATTTGCCATTTGCAGTAAAACCACATTGTAATTAATCTGCAAAAGTCCCCAGTGTGCACAAGACAAGTACATAAATAAAACAAGGTTTAAAGTACAGAAATAAAAAATAATAGTAATGAATAATAGTGCATTGATACAGCACGTTTCAGGACACTCAAAGACACTTCACATGTCACTCCATACACGGTGGTGATAAACTACTACTGTAGCCACAGCTGCCCTGGGGCACACTGACAGAAGCGAGGCAACCAGTATGTGCCAGTATTCCAACTGCATGCGCAGACCAACTGACAGAGCACACAACTCGTCAGAACACTCGTCAGAAGTGTCATGTGGAACTTTCACCATTGACATTTTTTGTTGAATTTAAATTGATAATCAGTGACTGAAATTCACAGACAAAAATATTCAAGATGTTCAAAAATTCAAATAGATTAATTCAGGTCCAATTAAAATTCCATTTCTGATGGAACAAATAATCCGTCTTTTTTAAATTGAATTTCACAGTGCATTGAATTTTATCCTCGAAAATAAAGACATTGAATATTTTGAAGGTGAATATGTCATTTTAAATATTTAATCAAACTGAAACTTGTAGCCATAGACTGTAAATAACAGACGTAGTCACGGCTATCTCCACCGTTGAAACTAACGTGCCTTCTGAGGGCTTTTGCGCTATTGATATAGCCCCATTGATATAACGAGTGCATTCAAAAGTCCACAGCGGCTAAACTAGACTGGTCCAAAAATGCTGGTCCCCTCAGCATTGACACACATCTAGAACGTGAGCTCTTGGGCCAAGAGCCGAATTTTGGACCAGGCAGTAAAGCCGTTTTTGAGAGGATAGAAGGTAGCATATAAAAGATTGGGTAATTCTTTTTCACCTCCAAAATTAAGGCTATCTTAATTGTCCTCACAGACCGACATTACCCCCTGTTGGATAAGAGACTGTGTGATTTCAAAATTATTATATAATATATTGACAGTTGTTTTCAAACAAAAATTAAAATACATGAAACTGAGTCCATGTGTCATAGAGACAGGCTTTTGTACTGAATGACCAAATGACAATGTGGAGATTGTTGATGACAACTAAAAACACAGGAAGAGGAGGTCTTTTTCTGTCACTTAAAACAAGTCGGTGAAATTTGTGTCACACAGAAGACCACCATGGAACCATCAGCACCAAGGCTCACAGGTGATTTATACTGAGTTTATTCAGGGACAGTGCATTATTTGTTTATTATCCCTCCAGAGTGCTGCCATCTCTCGACTAACTGTCTCTTTAGTTTCTTTATATATATTTCATGGATAATTATTCCTGGTGCCCCTAAAGCAGTACTGGTGCACCTTAACATTTTAGTTTGTATCACAGCCTCTGACTTTTTAACATTACTAATTATTTCTTAACCCACAAAAAAAAACAATTATAGATTTTGCGTGTGTTTAATTTCATGTTCTTGATTATATTTTCAGTGAGTCCAAACCGGTCCCAGTTCTTCAGATTTGACCAAGTGTTACTGAGCTGTGGGAGCACTGGACACTGGGCTGTGTTCAGAAACACCAGCAGATTCAGCAGGAAGGACTGTGGACAGGACTGGGGCAAGTTGAATGGTTCTGTGTGTGAGATCGAGTCACTCTATTCTGATGACAGTGGTCTGTACTGGTGTGAGAGAGACGGACACCGCTCTGCAGCTGTGAACATCACAGTTCATGAACAAAGAGGTAATTCTCTTCACACTCACTTTAGGGTTACTATTCCACTTGTGTCAAAGACCAGCCTCGCGACCTGGACCATATTAGTGGTACATAAAATGGTTTTCAATTAATTAATGTTTATATGGCTTCCATAGTATTTTTAAGATTTATTTCAAAAGAAAACCACATAATTTAATGCATTCTCAAACTGAACCCAACATGTTAGAAATAGTTAAATAGGCCAATGATGTTTTGATTACCTTCAGGTCAATTTTTTATTTAATTTATAGAATGAAAAATGATTTTTGAATAATCGTACTTGGCCCAAATGCAAAATGTTATGTGTGGGACAAAAATAAATAACTCTGCTCCTCACCCTCAGTGCACCTTCCCCAATAATGGATATGATGGGAGAGCTTCATGCAGGGGCTGCTTTTCTTCAGCAGGGAAGATTGTAAAAAACAGAGTGTCAATGGAATGTAGCAACTGAATAAAACTAATTTTGTCTAAAATAAGATAAGATCGACTTTATTGATCTCACACAGGAGATATTTACATGGATAGAAACCCTCAAGATTGTGCAAATGGTAGAAATGTGCAAACATGTTAAATGCAGGATATATTATGTACAATAAAAAGTGGCAATCCAATTACTTTTAGCCTGGAAGTGCTATCCGACCACCTAATACACCCACCCCAAACCTGTTAACTGTTAATAAGATGAACAGTTCAAACATGTCTGAAAGTGTGTCCTGACTTATAAACCTGGAGTTTGAAGCAGTCTATATTATTTTTCAGTTATAGAGCCTAGCATCAGCCCTCCTCCTGCTCCGTCCACACTGCCCACTTCTCCTCCAGCCTCTCCCCCCGTCACAACCTCCTCCTCTGGGCTTCTCGTCCCTCTGCTCTGCTCCATCCCGGGCCTACTCCTGCTGCTGCTTCTCCTGCTGCTGCTACTACTGCTGCAGTGGGTCAAACTCTGCAGACACAAACCCAATGAAGGCGAGTCACATTTTCAATTTCTTGCGTTGTCTGTTTGATCATTTGTTTAATCATTTCTTTCATAAACAAAACCCACACATAAGCATTTGTATTCGAGCTGTTATCTGTGACGTTTATCATTTCAAAGCTGTGGAAAAATAACAACTCTGTTCTGATTGGGGACAGTTTACAATAAAACATAGATCATTTTAAAATATCTGCATTGATTACAAATTAAAGAATGTTGTGAATTAATAATAATATGAATTTAAAACAAATCTCAAAGTACTACATAGAATCAAGATTAGCGTATTCCATTATTTCCTTACTTTCTCTACTTGACCCATCCTTCAATGCCACTGATGGACACTGGCCTTTGCTTTACAAACATGCATCATCTAATCATTTATAAAACATGAGATTCCAAAATAATGAACACATTGAATCAAAATATTAAAATTCCACACTGCATCCCTTTTAAGAAACTGACATTATTCTACCACCAAACTTAAAGGTATCAGAATGCAGAAAAGTGCACTAAAGTGTCTAGTGTGGTTCTTAAAACAATGAATTACAGATTTTAAAGTTAATAAAGCTGTGTTATTTGGAATTATGTATGTAATTGTTTCTATTCTAAAGTAAAGTAACTAAGATTGTGTATTAAAAAACGTGATATGAATTATTAAAACCATTGAGTTCTCTGGTATCCCATATGTTCACTGTATCAATGGCATCTATGCATTTAATATGTAGTTATTAATCTAAAAATTCCGTACAAAAATTCAAATAAGGTACAATTGATAGGAATGCATGCCTTTTTATTTTAGACTGAGAATGTTAATAATGCATAAAGAGAATAAAAGTCCAAGTACAGCCTGTTTAGTCTTTGTTACATGCTGTGAAGCCAGATCCTTAGTTAAGAGGTCATTGGAAATATCCTGCAATAACAAAATATAACAAAATATATATTCACTTTTTTATTTAAATTTTGGTCACTTTACGGAACTCAATCGATGTATTGTACTTTTTCCACCCCTGTTTTTTACAAATGGGCCACATAATGATTTTCTGATATCAATACAAAGGTCTGTGCACTGGTCGTGTGGTTGAAGGCCACTCGAGTGGAACAGATGTGGTTTTGCCATCACAGTTGTGTGCGTGTGAAGCCATTTCCACACAGGCTTTTAGTCCTGTTTGATTTCCGATCTCTGACCACTGGTTTCCTCTTAATCTTCTCTTAGAGTTTTAGTTTGATTTGCAAAAATAACATGTCCTCATGGCCTTGTTTATAGTAAGTACATTTGTTTTTTATGAGCGTTTGCAACACGAAGACGGAAAGTGGCACAAAGTCTATGTTCATGTCTTGATGAACCGAATGATAATAATAATAATAATAGTAATCAATTAATAACAACAATAATAATAATCAAATATTTATCTATAATCATGGACACTGCTACAGTAAAATGTTTTTGTATTTCAGGTAAAGGCTGTGGCAGACTCACTGAAAACGGTACACATGTTTGTTTATTTATGTGTTCATTTTGGGTGAATGTACTTATTGATTTGGAATGCAATACATATTACATAAATAACAATTCTTAATTTCTTGTTTTGAAGAACATCCAGTTTATTCCTCTGTGAAAACTGTTGTGTGCTACACCCCCGTCGTTATCAATCAGACGAGAAGAAAAACCGAGACTGAACCAGATTCCAGGACAGACTATACTAGATGCAGTTGCGTGTGCTTTTTAAAAGACGATAATACCTTATTTGTTACTTTTGTGCCTTAAACATGATTTTGAGAATGTTAGTTTTGGGATTCCATGTTTCAGAATTTCCCCACAGGAACATTCAAAGCTTCCATAATTGATTGTTTGAAGCAAAAGATTAACTTAAAGTGCATTTGACCCCATTGTAACTTACAAAAATAAACTTTGATTCAATGGAGTGAAGACCTTTTTTTTCATCAACTATGCCAAACTTTAAGACAAACTTTAAGACAGTTCTGGAAGGCTGCTCTACGTCCTCGTTCAATAACTTTCCTCAAACTTTAGGGAAAGTAGGTAATATATGGACACACATGTATAAAGGAGAAAGATTTTGTCTCAGATAATTGCTATTTTTATAAACATATAGGCCTATAACATTGAGAGCCCACAGTTGAAAAGAAAAATATTTGAATGAAGACATTCCCAAGAGCTAATTTGGAGAGAATACTAATGTGTGTATAAACAACTTCTAGTCTGTTCTTGACAAGAACAGAAGACCCACCCACAAGAACATGTTGTAACATGGTTTATACCCTCATAACAGACCATTTTGCATCATATGTCTCTGTACTACAATAAATAAAAAGCTTAGGGCTGGTTCGTCGGAAGGGGAGAATAGGGAGATTCTTGAGGATTGACCTCCTTCTCCTGCTTCTTAATTTAGCCTCACTCCTGCCCTCTGGTGGTAATCCAGCGCCAATCATGTAATGCTTACTTGATCTTTATGAATAAATGTATGAATCGTTCAGAAGAGAACTGTAATGTCATTCACTTAATTTTACTGATCAAACATAGACTTTAAATTAGTTTTTGTTATTTGCTTTCAATTTCAACATGTTATGGTAGTTTTTTTTTTTGCAGTAAAAAGAGTAAAAAGAGAGTCCAAGAGAAAAAAGCATAAACTAAATTAAACTAAATTATTATTGCGAAAAATAACAAATGCAAAATATGTATTTCATTACAATAGCAATGTGATAACAATATTATCATGATTATTATTTGCAAATAATACTAATCTAAACTAGGGCTGTCAAACGATTAATTTTTTGTTGGTTGATTAATCGCATAGTAATGGTGAGTTAACTCACGATTAATCGCATGTTTAACATTCTATTTCAAATCCACTCCAATTGAAGTTAAATGAGATTATCAAATATAATTACCAGTGTTGGGTAAGTTACTTTGAAAAAGTAATTAGTTATAGTTACTAGTTACTTCTTCCAAAAAGTAATTGACTTACTAACTGAGTTACTCCACTATAAAAGTAACTAGTTAGCAGTAAAAGTAACTATTGCGTTACTTTTTCGTTTGTCTTGGTACCGAGCTTTAGCTGGCTGTAATTTAGGACAACTTCTAAGTAGATTAATTGTTGCAACAACCCCACCCTAATTTAGTATGATATGTTAGTTTAGGGAACTGTCCTGCAGGCAAACAGGTATAAGACAGGCCAAGGTGCCATTTAATTAAATTGCATTTATTTTTATCCATTGATCAATCAAACAAACAGATTACAAAACTTGCAATTGAAAGAGACTATTTTAAAATAATTCGTTCCCAAAGACACACACGAGCAACACTCACGCCTGACAGTCAAGAACCAGGGAGAATACAGTGCGCAGAGCGCGCCTGACAGACAAGAACCAGGGAAAATCCAGTGCGCAGAGCGCCGAGTATGTGAACGGAGCAATCGCTTGCTGCTGTTATTATAATAGCTAGATCCATGCTTGCAGCCCGTGCAAAGCTTGCACTCACTCACAGCCGCTAACAACAACCAGAGCGGCCACGGAGAAGGCCATCTCACACGCAGCATTCTGAGTGATATTCTTATGGATAAATGGGCGGGTCATTCGGACTTGCGTTAAAAAAAATAACGCGTTCATAAAAAATGTAATTAACGTGAGTTAACGCGATAATTTTGACAGCCCTAATCTAAACATAAGCCTGTACTGCTCTGTGCCATTTTATAATTTCCGAAGATTACGTAATAGAGGGATCGGCTGTACTTCCTGATGCGCTCGTGCAGGACATTTTCGTAGGGCGAGATTTGCAGGAGGACGGTCGTAGACTCAGCCTGTGGGTCGGAAGAGGACGAGAGAGCGGACGCAAGTTTGAATCTGAGATAAATAATAAAAGTGAACATTGATACTGGCAGTTTGGCATAATCCGGTTTGTGACAGAACACCGGGATGGATTCCCAGGCAGAGGAGGAGGATGATTTGATGAACTTTGATGACTTTCCATCATTACGTAGGGATGGGGATAGGGGGGGTAGGAGCAGTCAGAGAAGTAAGCGTGGTTTAGATTATTCTAGTCCAGATGAAGGAAGGTCAGTGATGCGGAAGAGGGTAGTTCGAGAACCAAACAAACCTAAGGTCATACTTAAGTTCGGGAGTGAGAGTGAGGCTTTAAAGGTCGGGATTTTGGGCCAAAGGGTCCAAAGTCTGTCTGTTTTAGTGGAGTTTTGTGATGAGGTGCTTCCTGAAAAGATCAGAGTGGGGTGTTTGAGTTTCCCGGTAAGAGAGTTTGTTCCTCCCCCGCTCCGGTGCTATAAGTGCCAACACTATGGGCACATATAGCAGCGGTGTGTAGAGGGAAACAACGCTGTTCTAGGTGTGGAGGGGAGCATAGGATTGAAGAATGTAAAGAAAAAGACAAAATAAAATGCTGTAACTGTGGGGGACAACACACCACTTCATATGGGGGATGTGAAGTCAGGAAAAGGGCTGTAGAAATTGAGAGAGTCAAAGTTGCAGATAACACCACGTATGCTGAGGCAGCGAAGAAGGTACCAGTTCAAAAACGGGGGAATGGAGGTTCCGCAGAGGTAGGGCTGAGAAGAGAGGTGAGTGTAGGCCCAGATATGGGAGACTGGCTTGTGTTTTTGGCCTATGTGGTTAACTGCGTTGACCAAACTAAACATAGAGCAGAAAAAGTAAAGATTGTTGTGAAGGGTGCCGAAAAGTTTTTGGGGGTGAAGGGAATACCATGGGAGCAGGTGTACAAGAGACTGGAAGTGGGTAATAAGGGAGGAGGAGGAGGCATTGCTGAGAAGCAATGAATCTAATACAGTGGAACGCTCGGAGTTTAATTGCAAATGGTCAGGAGTTTAAGGCCTAGTAAAGTAAAACCGGATATTATCTGTGTGCAAGAGACGTGGCTTAAGGATTCACTGGATTTTGTTATTAGGGGGTATGAATGTGTAAGAAGGGATCGGGATGGAGGAAATGGTGGTGGGTGTGCAATATTTGTTAGAAGCGGGATTCAGTATAGGGTTGTAAGTAAGGGAGAATCACTTGAGTGTATAGTTATAGAAGTATGGGGGAGAGGAGGTAAGATTATAGTTGTAAATTTCTCTAATCCAAGCAAAAGGTTATCACTGGAGGGTCTGCAGGAGTTTTAACGCACATAGTACATTGTGGGGTGGGGTTAATGATGCAAATGGACTGGTGGTTGAAGAATTATTGGATATAAAGAGCCTTGTATGTCTGAATGATGGGAGTGGAACTAGATTTGATTCGAGGACTGGGAAGGAGTCCTCGTTAGACTTAACACTGGTGTCTGAGAGTATTGCTGGGAACTGCACATGGAAGGTGGATAAGGACACTACGGTAGGAAGTGACCATTTTCCACTAGTCATTCAGATAGGGTTTAGTTTTGAAGAAGCTGCTGTTGGAGGGGTAGGTAAATGGTGTTTTGACAAGGTGGACTGGGGTAAGTTCAAAACCATTTGTGAAGAAGAAACTGAGAAGATAAATGTTAATGGTCATATTACTGTGGATGAGTTTAATAGTAGCTTGTGTAATGCAATAGTTCATGCAGCAAAACAGACAGTAAGAAAGGAGGAGGGGAGGAGGAAAAGGAAGATCGTCCCCTGGTGGTCAGAAGAGTGCACTGTAGCCATACGTGAGAGAAATAAAGCCTTCAAGGCTTTGGCAAATAATGTAAACTGGGAAAATTATCTGGACTATAAGAGGAAGTGTGCAGTTGGCAGGAGAGTGATCAGGGCAGCTAAGAAGAACTATTGGAGGGGTTACTGTGACACGCTGGACAGACAGACTTCTATGAACCAGGTTTGGGGAACAATTAAAAAGATGGCAGGTAGGGAGTTTAGCTACCCTGTGATGAAAAGTGGGGAGCGTCTTGTGATGGAGGATAAGAGTAAAGCTGAAGAATTGGCTAAATATTTTGCAAAGGTCCATAGCTCAGAAAATTTAAGCATAGAGGAAAGGAGAGAAAGAGAGCGGACAGTATTAAAACACACAGGTGGCTTAGAGCATGCACAGAATTATAATGATGTGATCAATGTGGAGTTTTCAATGTTTGAACGAAATGGTGCGTTAAATAAATGTGGGAAGACGTCCCCAGGGGGGGACGATATTAGCTACTGTATGTTAAAGAATCTTAGTAATCATAGTAAGGAAAAGCTGTTAAAATTGTATAATAAAGTCTGGGCAGAGAGTGTGTTGCCAGAGCAGTGGAAAGAAGCGGTAGTGGTGCCAATTTGTAAGCCAGGTAAGGACCCCAGTGCGGTCGAGAGTTATAGGCCTATAGCCTTGACCTCACATGTTTGTAAATTAATGGAGAAAATGGTCAATGAGAGATTAGTATACTTTGTGGAAAAAAATAGGTTGCTTAAAGACCATCAGTATGGGTTTAGAAAGGGCAGGAGCACAATAGATCCAGCAGTTTTATTGGAACACGACATAAGAAAGGCCCAGGCTAACAAGGAGAGTGTGGTGGCAGTGTTTTTTGATGTGGAAAAAGCCTACGATATGATGTGGCGGGAAGGGCTTATAATAAGGTTGCGTCAGATGGGAATAAGAGGGGAAGTGCTTGGATGGGTCAGACAGTTTCTAACAGGGAGAAAGATTTTGGTACGAGTAGGTTCTGAGATAAGCGCAAGGTATGAGGTAGACAATGGGACGCCACAAGGGAGTATTGTGAGTCCAGTGTTCTTCTCCGTAATGATAAATGAGATTTTTTGTAATGTTGAAGGGTCTGTTGGAGTGTCACTGTTTGCG